CATACACATGCATGCACAGCAACAGGCCATGCATCAGCAACAACAACAGGCTATGCAACAGCATCACATGCAGCAGCAACAACAACAAATGGCTGCCAATCATTTCCATTCGATGGCTGGACGTCATTCGGGTCGTAATATGACCGCCACGGCTAGCATGAAAAAACGTTCAGCGTCCTCATCCCGCGGTCAACATATGGTCAATTCTAATACCATGACAGGTGGTATGATATCAGCGGTGGGTGCTGGCAGTTTGGGTCACCATCGGGGTGATTTAATATTTCCCGATGAATCGGACACCATTGAATTTTGTATGCCACCACAGCCGGGCTCATCGAATGGCATTGGTCATGGCATTAGCAGTGAACTGCTGTTGACACACGGGAAAAATGGCCTGTGCACCGGTGAGGCGTTTGCCGAGCGACGGAGGAGAGGTCACAGTCGGCGCAGTAATCACAAAATGGATGTTGAACATCAGGTGAGCGGGAGAGTTTGGAATATATAGTTTTTAATTAAAATTTTAGGTGTGGTAGTGCAGTGATAAAATTATCCCTTAAATGTGAATAATAAAATATATATTTAAGATTTTTCTTTAAGTCCTCGGTCTCTTAAAATTCAAAAATTCTTAAAAATAAAAAGGCACTGTAAAAAATATTTATTAAAAATCCACTATTTAATAGAACAATATTTCATGCCTGATAGTCCCTTAAAATATTTTTTAAGAAATTCGCCCTTCCATAGTCCTTAAAACATATTTTTAAAATGAAATTAACTATTAGATGGTCCGATATTTTTAATAAAATCCATATTTCGATAGCCATATTAATCCATCTTTTGATAGTCCTTTTAACAAATTGTCCACCCTCCATAAGTTCTCAAAATTTTATTTTGTATAAATCCTCTTTCGATAGTCCTTTAGAAATATAATATAATAATCCACGCTTTGATGGCCCCTAAAAATATTTTTTTATAAAATCCCGCTTTTATGGCCCTTAAAAATATTTTTTTATAAAATTTACGCCTTAATGGCCCTTAAAATATTTTTTTATAAAATCCCCATGACAATTAAAGAAAACCTTTGAAACCCCCTTCTTATAATCCCCTTAAAAAAAACAATTTCTTTAATTCTTGCAATTTCCTTCCATCTTCAAATATGTACCTCACATATCTTCCCAACACTATTTTAACACGCCCTTCTTTCTCCTTATCTCTTTCCAGGTGAAATGGTCACGCAACAACATTGCCGCCACAATGGAACGTTTCGAACCGACCCAACATCATTCGTCCTCCTCCACCTCATCGTTGGAATATGGTTTTGCCGCCAGTGTTGTAACGCCATCGTCAACGCCATCACATCATTCACAACATCAAATTTCACCCGCTCCCTCACAAACATTTCAAGGTGCCACTACTGCTGCCACTGCTCAGTCTCAGTCAACACCCTATAATCATGTCTATTCGTACGCTTACTATGAACCCGGTGCTGTTAAGTGTCATACGAATATACCACCAAAAGAAGATGCAGTGGCTGGTGCTGCGGCCATAATGCCAGCTCCATTAGCGCAAGCGACAGGTGGCGCCACAGCGTCTGGTGCCGTAGCTGGTGCTTGTGCTGCTGGTGGCGCGTCTGCTGGACCCTCAAAAAGCCCTACCCGCAATTCAATTCGTGCCCTCTTGGCAAGAAGTTTTCGTTCGAAACCTAAAAATCCGCCCTCGACATCATCATCGCCCAGCGGTGCGGAAGAACGTCACAATTACACAACACGTTACGGCACAACGGAAAATCTCTATGAAGAGGTCAACGATCAGAAAATACGCAAAGTCCTTTCCGATAATCGTATCGTCAAGTCCAATGTTATCGAAGAGATACGCCGAGTTCAGCACAATCACTTTAGGGTATTGGACGAACTGAATCTGTCGTTGGAGGCATTGATAATGCCCGAAACACCACCCGATGTTAGTCCAAATGTTGAAGTGCCCGAAGCCAGTGCGGTCAGTGCCAATACAGCTGCCGTTCTGGCCACACCCACATCAACAGCCCAGAAACCACGAAGGGGTGGCCTACTGGGCGGTGCCGCATCCACCTCATCGTCCACAGTGTCTTCTTCGCAGCCGCGTACCTTGTCACACGCCAGCCTAGAAAATCTTTCCTCGACTTTTAACTCAATCGAACTGAAAGATCACGCCCATCTGTCGTGTATAAATCCCGAATTCGACGAAGGCGATTTGGATAGCGGCTTCAGCGGCAGTGGCAGCAGTAGCGGTGCCAGTTACAATGAAAGTCTGCGTTACTACAAGTCCGGCCATACACCCAATCACCATCCTCACCATACCATGCACCATCATCAGGTGCAGCTGCACCACCAGCATCAGGCGCAGATGCAGCACCAACAGGCACAACAACAACATCCCACCACTTTACCCCACAACATGCGTAGCTGTCGATCGTCAACAGCATCCGGTTCGTCGACATCCAAAAGTAGCACTTCCGAGGATCAGGGCATAGCAATGATGACCTCATTGGGTAGCTGTGGAACAGCTGTCACCTCGCCAGCGTCGCCATTTCACTATAATCGCTGCTGTGCCGAAATACAACGGGCGTCTGGCCGTTCCGCGTCTGATTCCTCAGCGACGGGTGCTAAACCAAAAAAGAACTTTTGGAAAATAAAACCGTGATGTTATAAAAGGGCTTTACGTAGACTCTGTAAACGTTGGAGTATAGTGGTGGTAAGTTAAATTAGCCGCACGTCCGCCATACCCCACTCCCATGCTCCCAACCCAACAACACATAGCCACAAACAGAAACACAACTACATTTAAAAAAACATCTTTCGCTTTCTATCTCTCAGCTCGCTCTAATCTGTCTGTCTCTGTCTATATACTATCTCTTTCCGCATATTATTATTATTATATATTATATTGTAATTTAATTTTAAGGCATCTACCGCAAAAAGAAAAAAGTGATGTATTTGTAAAAACAAAACAAAAATTGAAATCGAAATACGAAAGGAAAAAACTAAGAACCCTTAAACCCTTAGAAACGCTATTAAATGATGATGATAACATAAAAATAATTATTATTATTAAGCTATGAATTAAATGCATTTTTAGTTAAACTAAGCATTCTTGTATTTGTTAATTTAAAACAAACAAAAAATAAGAGAAAAACAAAAACGAAAAAAAAACAAATGTGAATAATAAATTTATTAAAATTTTGAGTTAAACAAAATTCTTGTTGTTTTTATTTCAAATATTTATTATTTGTCAGCGGGAAGAGGGGGTGGTTATAAACGAATCTTATGTTGGTTGATTTTATGTCTCTCGTTTGCATTTCAATTTTCTTTGAACATATTGGCAAAATTTATTTATGGTTTCGTTTTAAACAAAGATCTAGGTGTACCATATTTCAACAGAGAGGAACATAAGTGAGGGTGGTTCACATTATTTATGATCAACTAAAAAGGAAATTTTTATGGAAAGGATTTAGATGTTTCACATGGAATTGTAAGACTTCACAAAAACATTGAGTTAATAAATTTAAAGTTATAACAGCAACGACGTATTTTAACGGCTAGTTACCATAATCCACCAAATATTCCAAACATATATATATATATATGGGCTGGCATTTCCGTATCGCTAAAGGGGGAAAATAATAAAGAAGAACGGCGTCAAAAATCAAGCTTGATATTCCATGATAAATTGACATTACATACAAAGCCCCTTAACTCTACTAAATCGTTGGACTCGGGCGGAATCGGAGTATCTGATTAAAGTCATAAATATGTCGATAGTCTCTGTAAACCTAAATCGCACAAGCGGATTTTGGAATAACGAAGACTCTCGAGGCATTACTCCTCCACATCATTAGGGAAAAGTAGGTTAGTTTGAAAAAATATATCATAATAAAATTTCGTTTCCCTAAACATCTAGGTATCTCGTTTCATTTGTGAAGTCCTTAGATCTGTTATTTCGTGAATATTCCTACAAATTGGGTTCGAAAGCTTGAAAAAGCTGGGCAGTGGCATAGGAAATATTCCAACGTCTTCCCCACCAGCTCTATACAAACTGCTTGCCTCGCATCTAATCTAGTGTTAATGTACCTGCAGTCTGTTATTTCCTGTGAGAATACGTGTCGGTCTACCAATGTGTCATCATTTGGGACTCCCTATAAAATTGTTGTTATACCCTACACAGCTGTGTTGTCAGGGTATTATAGCTTTGTGCAGCCCCAAGAGTTTGTAACGCCGCGAAATATTGGTCCTAGACCCACCTTTAAATATACCGATCATCATATCTCGGCTAGCTGAGCCGATCTAGACATGTGTTTCCGTCTGCCCATTATAATTTGTAAGCACGATATAGGTCACAGTTATGGACCAATCTTCACGAAATTTTGCATGTAGGATGGGTTCTGGCCAATGAAGACCCCTATTGTTTTTGGTAAAGATCGGTTAATATCTAGGGGATGAAATGGACCAAATACTTAATTTTTATCGGTTTTTCTAGTCGCTCTAGATGCCGCAATTATGACTCAAACATCGAATCGAATTTTTACATAGTGAAGGGGATCGGGCCAAAGAATAAGCATGCCTGTTTTGATAAGGATCGGTCAATATTTAGCGGGTCAAATGGACACAGACTTTTGTGTGAAAAATTACAAAATTTGTGTTCCATAGCGTATAGATTTACCCCTGAAGGACATAGACCCGAAAAGTTGTTGGTATATCCAAGGGCAGTGGTTGACCTTTAATTTGATACCAATTATATGGTCGTATGTACTCAGATGTGGGAGTTACACTTAAATATTTACAGGTGATTACGTATTCAGATATTATTTAGTAACCCTTTACTACACAAGAGGGCGGAAATATAGCGCTGATCGATTTAAAATGTTCCATGAAGTTCCAGTTATGGTCAAGGACAACGCCTACAATTTTCGGAGACGATCAGATGACTATATTGTGATGAAGTGGACCGAAAACTTAATTTTTTCGAGTCGATCTATAGGCTCCAATCGTATCAATAAAAACAGCTAGGAAAAAGACGCATAAGGACTCGAGATAGAAGAAGGATATGTTTCCAAAAAAGTTCCTCATTTGATTTTAATGAAAACATGCCAAAAATAAAAGTCTTTTTTCTTTCTGAATTGTAGTGTCACAAGTAAAAAATTCTTCATTAAATAACTCAACAACTTGACTTTAGGCAAATTTGTCCTTCTATGTTTTGCAAGTAATAAAATCCCACCCAGACCATGAGCCCCTTTAAATCCAATGACCCCCTTAAAATCCTGTTTACGTTTTTGCTATAATTATATATGCGCATGACCAAGCTTTTATAAATCCACATAGTAATGGAGTCCCAATAAGTTTATCTGACTACGAACTAATGATTCATGTGTAGCTATCCTATTTAATACTTTCGTGTATTCTTCGTCTAAGGTTAAATTGTATTTGATATCTCACGTAAGCCAAAAAATTGCATTGAAGATTTGAATTTAGCTGAAATATGGACCAAAATTCCACAAGGATCAGATGATTAATATGACTATTGATGAAAAATAGTCATATTAAAAAGTTAAAAAAACTATATTATATAACATGTTATTGTTAAGCCGAAATTTTTATTCCCGACACAATGTGGTGAGAATTTCAAATTTTTAAAGGGTCGGGACCTATCAGGAATTCAATTTACAGTACGGATATTGGTCAGTATTTTAAAATTTTTAGAAAAAATTTCCCACTGAAGCACAAAAGTCGGACCACTTATAGATGCGATCAACACACGTAACATTTTTGGAGGACCCTCAAAAAGAAATCGGACGAAATGAAATGTGTGATCTGTAGATATACGTGAACAAACTTAAATCGATTTATACACATGCCATACTGCAATTGGACAAAGTAGAGTCGTTGGACAAAAGTTGAAATAAAATAAAAAGGCAGCTATATATTATTTCAATAAGTTGTTCAAAATGTTATGTCAAATTTATATAATACTAGCGGGCCCGGCAAACGTTGTCTTGCCTAACAATATTGTTGATGTATAATTTTCGGCATTTTAGGTTGTTTTTATACCCTCCATAATAAGGTGATTTGTATATATTTTTGTAACATCTTGGTATTTATCATAGCACACATAGGGTAACATTACAAAACTGAATTAGATGTTTATGAGTGAGTTTTGTTGCTCCCTCCACGATTTAAGATATAAATTTTATATTTGCACATACATTTGTACTACTCATAAGATGGCCTAGCGCTGTCCTGGTGAAACACGACACCTCCCCTGTTGGCCAATTCTGGTCAATTGCTATCTTCAAACGGTACAGTTGTTGGCAGTAGAGATCAGAATTTAGCGTTTGGCCATATGATAGCAACTCATAATAAATAATCCCCTTCCAGTCCCACCAAATGCATAGCCGAACCTTCCTGGTCGTTAGTCCTGGTTTGGTCACCGTTTGAGGTGCTTCACCGCTCTTTGACCACGATCGTTTTTGCATAGGGTTATCGTATGTGATCCATTTCTCATTTCCAGTCACCATCCGTTTATAAAAATTAGAGTATCTCATTCCGTATGGTCAAGGCTTCGCAGATAAAAATTCGAGCCATTCCATTTTTTCTGTTAATTGGTGAGGCACCCAAACATTGAGCTTCTTTTTGAATCCAGCTTTGTGTGAATGGTTTAATTTTTAGCTCCTGGACGATATTACGACATGCCTGTAAAATTCGATCGTTCCACCGGTCTAATGGATTTATTTTTCCCAAACCTAATATTAGGGATACTTATTGGGCAGAAATTCTCCCTAATTAGAATTTTCCATATTGACTCAAGTATTCGGATATCCCCATCTAACGGCGTTCCTTAATATTCAGTATTTGGCTGCAATGTTATGTTCGCCAAAGCTTTCAAATATCCATGTAATAGTAATCCACCTTTTTCGATACTGTGGGGGATTTGGGCACGTTTGGTTGTATATTTGGTAGAATGAATCGTACTGAAATTGTCAATATTGGTTAAATCTTTGAGGTACCCACAATATTCGGTACTTTGAGGAGTTCGGTATTTTAGGGAGTGTTTCAGCCGAAGTGCTGTAATGTTTTATTTTGGATGAAGAAAACCTGTTTACAAAAAATTATCAACATTGGTGCAAATTGGTCCGGGTAGCCCCATATATTGATATACATATAATGATATACTCTTATTGTTCGGTATTTTCTCATGTGGTATTAGTATATATCCATACCCATTGTAGTATCGTATGGCAATCGTAGTATGGAAAATCGGTCCTCATGTGGATATAGCTCCCATATATAGTTTCGTCCGATTTCATGTAAATGGTGCACCAAAGTCCTTATATATCATTCGATTTGCACGAAATTTGGCATAACGTATTGAATTGAGCCTAGAATGATGTCTGCCAAGTTTCGAGAAAATCGGTCCAGATTTAGATATAGCTCCTATATATAGTTTCGTCCGATTTCATGTTAATGGTGCACCAAAGTCCCTATATATCTTTCGATTTGCACGAAATTTGGCATAACGTACAGAATTGAGCCTAGAGTGATATCTGTCATGTTTCGTGAAAATCGGTCCAGATTTAGATATAGCTCCCATATATATTTTTGTCAGATTTAATGTAAATGGTGCACCAAAGTCCACACATATCTTTCAATTTGCATGAAATTTGGCATAACGTACTGAATTGAGCCTACAATGATGTCTGCCAAGTTTCGTGATAATCGGTCCGGATTTAGATATAGCTCCTGTATAT